CAAGAGAAAGAGAGAAATTAGAGTTACCAGGTATTTTGGATGTTAGTGCAGTTAAGCACTAAATTTAGCTCTGGGCCTGCTGATAGCTGAGGCCAAAGGAGAAAATGCATTTGCTAATTGTCTTTTCTATTTCATGCATGTTAAATTCTGTGTAGAGTTCCAGCTTTTACTTACTCCTGAACCAAACTGCTATTCCCAAACTTACACCCTTTAAAAATGAGAAAAGTCATTGTTTTTCCCCCCAAGAGCTTAACATTTGTCTCGATGTGTTTTTGGCTTATTAGAGAAGTAAAACTAGCCATAGCAAAAATACCCTATGGGGACTTTCCTTCCCTAAGCATATAGTAGAACTGATGAGAAAAATAACACATTTTGCAAAATCTGCAGTTGGGTTTTTTTTGTAGATCAAGAGTTTTCTTACTATTTAATAATTTAGGCAACCCTGGAGATCCAGCTGCATTCCAGATATTGCTCAGTAATGAAGAACTCAAGTCACTGGTTCCCTGATTTCAAATCAGCTTTCCCATTAAGCAGGTACAGTTGCTCAGCATCTCTACGACTCAGTGTGGTGGAAGAGTTCTCAGTATCAGACTCAGCTCTGTCATAAATTATTTGGCTGAGTTCCAATGAGCAATTTGTTTGCCATTTCTCAGCCTATTGTCTTCAGTGACGCAACAATCATTTCTCGAGCATCTCAGGTGTGCCAAATATTCTCCTGGAAAAGCAGACAGCCCTACTTTCCGGGGGACCACAGGCTGGAGACATGGGAGTTTCCCAACCTGTAGTATAACTACTTTCCTTTTGTGGGTGCCTTGTCTCCATCCCTCACTAGTTTGGCACATAAAACAAAAATTTTAAAATGTGAGTGCATGAAGGGATAAATGGATGAGTGAGTGAATGAAACACAAAGCTAATTTTTAAACACCTTATTTTACACCTTATTTTATTCTTCTCAGGGTCCCCTTTGTCTGTAACAGAGACCCAACTGGTCCATCTTCCATTTGACCTGTCTTGGCCTTTAATCCTCAGGAAAGATCCTTTGGTTGGCCATACTGTGCCCTTTTCATTCTCCTCTGGCAGTTGCTCATAATCTACTTCATCCTTTGTGCCACCCTAAATATTTTTTCCAGTAGTTGATTGATTTTTTTATTAGTTTTTATTACACATATTCTTTTTCATCAATTTTCTTTTTTTTTCCATTAAGTTTACTGGTACATTTTAGGTGTACAATACAATTACATTCATCATTGGGAACATGTACCTTTCCATAATGTATCTTGGTTCCTATTTTTTCCCCAATCCCCTGCCCTCCTTTCACCCCCACAACCCTTCTTATTTATATTTTGTTTCCATTTTTTCCTTTTCTCATATTTTTTATTTTCCCTTCTTTCCTGTCCCTTACCCTTCCCACTTCCCCTATTCCTTTAGACCTCTTATTCCTACTTCACATTATTGACCATACAATTTGAACCTTATTTACACTTTTAGTATTTCACACCAGAGAAAGTATTAGGTATTTACACAGGTGTCCTATTTGTTTCACTTAAGAGTATGGCCTTATACCAAAAATTCAACGGACATCCACTGACCACATCACATGTGGCAAGCCCTGGGCAAGCCAAGGTGTTGGTGAGGATGGACTGTGCTCCATGTTGTCCTCTGCGGCTGCTCGGTGCTTTTCATGTCCCTCGTATGGCCATGTAAGGGTGTGATTTAACCTCGGAATTGCAGTGCTGAGATACCAGAAGAGCCAAAATGGCATCATGCAGTTCCCAGGAAAGTTGTACATCAATAAATTCCGCCTAACTCTTACGGCTGCCTGCTAGCCCCTGTGCAACAGTTTTTAACCAAAACAGCCAGTTTGAGTACAAGACCAGCTTAGCTGTCCACAATGCATGAATCCCAGTGTTGCACCAAATGTCTAGCATGCCCAACTGTTATTTCTATCCTTGGTATCGGTCCCCCACCATTATTTGAACAATGACTGGGACCTTGGTTTTTTCCTTTTCCGGTTTCTCCAGAAAGCATTGCTCAAAAGTAAACTTCAAAATTAAAAGAGTATTCAAATAACATGTCAAAACTGACCAGCTATTCCCCTCCTTGATATCGTCTCAAAAGAATTAAAAGAATCACACTACAGCAATATATGCACACCAGTGTTAATAGCAGCACACTTTATAATAGCTAAATCTTGGAAAAGTGCAAATGCCCATCAACCAATGAATAGATAAAGAAGATGTGGGTTTTTTATGCAATGGAGAACTATCCTGTCATAAAGAAGGATGGCCTTGAGACATTCATAGCTAAACAAATGCACCTTGAGACCTTACTCTTCAGTGAAATAAATTGAGCACGTGTTTAAATACTGCATTGTTTCTCTGGTGTGAGAAACCAAAAATGGAAATAAGGACTAAAACATATAATAGATATGAGAAATGGGAATAAAATGTTCAAATGAGAAGGGGAATTAGAGAGGAAGAAGGAAGAAAGGAAAGAAGGGATAAGAGGGGAAACAAGAAAATTGAAGGAAAAATGGAAAAAAGCTTTTGTACGTAGTGGCGTGGGGACGGCGGAAAAAACAGAAGATGCAAGATATATCATGTACTGGTACAAATTCCCTATGATGAATGTTATCATAGGTATATCTAGAATGTACCTAGCTGGGCATGGTGGTGGCCCACGTCTGTAATCCCAGCACTCCGGAGGCTAAGGCGGGAGGATCGCTGTGAGTTTGAGGCCAGCCTAGGCTACATGATTTCAAGTCCAGCCTGAACTGCACAACAAGACCCTGTCTCAAAAAAAAAATCTAAAAAATAGAATAACATAAAGAGTACCAAATGTACCAATAAATGTTTTTCTTAAAAAATTTAAAACCACTTCTGCACATTTATTCAGTTAATATTCATAACAAAACCTGAGGCTCAGAGGATAAATAACTAGAGCCACGTCATGTGGTCAGTAAAGTGGCAGAGCTGGCATTTATGTCCGTGTCTTGTGAGAGAAAAATCTCCACAATGGTCCCATTTGGCCTAGTCCTCATATTCACAAAAAGCCACAAATTTAACCTTAAAGTGTTAGTTCCAACAGCATTATACATAATTTAAAGAGCACCTCCTCAAGATTAGAAGAAGAAAGTGTTCGTTACACAAGTCTAAATTTGTGTTTACTTGGCATTAAGTTTGGCATTTTTATTTTTCAGTATACTTAGAAGCTCAGTGGAAGTTACCCAGGCTTCCCTCAAACTCCTGAGCCTCGACCAACCTCTTCGTTTTTTCAAATGAAATCTCTAAAAAGGCTGTTTGCTTGCTGCCACCTCTCCATCTAGAAATAAAGTCAGCTTGGTTTTATTTGATTTACACCTATTCTCATTCATTAAAAACTTCCTCTTTCTACTGTCCTATGCATACCATGCAACCCAGCAAGATCACGTGTCCTCATGCGGCACAGCCCGTGAGGGCTGCAGCTCCCCAGCAGGGCTGAGCTCTGTGTGCTTTGCTCTCTAGAGAACCCAGGCAGGGGCACAGCGCACAGTTCTGCCCTGATAAATTAGCTTTTTCTATGGGTGAGATTGGTGGTTGAAATAGCAAAGGAGCTTTTGGATTATTTAAAACCATCACATTTCCAGACCTTAATTTCTTCATCTATAAAATGAAGGAAACAACACTTTAATGAAAATTAATAAAAGATTATCAGGACTTTTCAGATTTTCAGATATACCATTACTCGGAAGATGTGACTGCAAACGCCAGGATCTCCAGCTCTAACTTCTCCCCTAACATCTCCCGGGGCTTCACAGAAGGGAGGAAGTAAGTCTTTCATCTGTAGTTGAAATTGCTGATTCTCACAACCATCTTTCCGGTCACTCCCCTCACACCCTAACTAGGCTGTGTGCCTGGGCATCCCTGCTTTGCTGCTGCTTTGGTGTTAAATGATTCGTAGTCAGAGGCAAGCGGGTCCCTGGTCCCCTCCGGCTGCACTGTGCTCTGCTCCCACATACTCAGGGAATCAAGGAAAGGACAGGGAGGTGTTCTCCAGCTTCTGTAGAGTCATCTCCACGATCTCCTCACACCCTGGGTGCCTGGGGGTGACTGCAGATCTTCACAAGCCAGCCAATGTTAACCATTTGCCATTTTCCCCTTTTCCTTTTTATTGCAGCTGTTTCAAACAGTTGATGAGGTGAAATATTCCCCAGCAGAGGAAATAATATAAGCTTAAAAGTCATTTCTGATGGAATGGTGAAATAATTCCACTACTTTTGAGTAAGAAAATAATAATAGGACAACCTGAGGCAGGCTCTGGGGATTTCACTATTGATAGACTGGAGGGAAACATAATGGCTTTAGATGAACAGGTTTTCCTTTTAAACTGGCTGGAGCTCTTTGGGATGGAGAGACGAGAAAGACAGGTGCTAGACAATAGAGTAAACTTGGCACCAGCTGATTTACATAATTTGTGTAGAAATGCACCGGTGTATGAAGTATAAAGTGGCTGCGTCGAATAGCAAAAATAAAGCATTTTGGAAAACAATCTATGTTCACTACCCAGCTGTAAAATAACTGATCATTTCATGAAATACCTCGTGTTTCTTTGCGAAAATGACTGGTGGTTCAAGATCTGTGTGTGTATGTGTGCAGTTTTAAGAAAATACAATCTCTTATGCCATTGTTTAAAGTAATTCTTAAGAATGCATTCTCTAAGCAGAGGTGACGTGGACTGGGGGAGGGGCTGGGCTGGGAAGAGGAACGTTTGCATCTCTCTTCAGTGCAGTATGGACTATTCACTATTTCTTCATAATTAAAGGCTATCAGGAGGGCTGGAAAAGTGTGTGAAGCAGAGATTATAAACAGCAATTTTTGCAGGCCAAATTGCTTCCTAAATGAAGGAGTAGGAGATTTAAAGGTGAACATAACCGTCTCTTTAGCAGCATGCAGAGGTTTGTTCTGTATGAGAAATGAAACCCTAACACCCTTTTGACAAGTATTCCTTAACAGGCTTCCCAGATATCTGAAACCAATTTTAACCCACTCTGGTCCTCCGCTGACCAGCACACTGCCAGAATGGTGTGGTCCTCTCTCCAGGCTGCTCACCAGCCCTCAGGCCTATGGGGTGAGTAAACATCGCACGTGGGACAAGCTCAGTGCATACTGATGAGCTTAGGAGCCCCAGGGTTGTTATTCCTTGGCTTGAGGAAGAAGCATTTTGTAAATCTGCTGCACCAAATAGCATTTCTCTTCTCTTTTCAGTTGTTGCTGATGTTGGCTTATTCTTCCTCTAAAAAATACAGGTTTTTTATTGCTACCAATATTTTTAACCATAACATGAGCTTAGAAAATGTAAAAGAAATAATGTGTCCTCACAAACTGCTGTATTTTGAGGTTTTGAGTATTAGGCCTGTGCTTTATAGCTCAAAGGGATAGAACTTTTTAAAATGCCGAGAAGCAATTAGAATCATTACCAGCAATCAGTGCCAGGCAATTGGAGAAGAGCAGAGTCTTAGGGTCGGCAGTACCGTTACAGGTTGTGCAGCTGGCTGCCCCCTTACAGAAATATATAACACATGTCTCAGATATGTGCAAGGCACAGGGGCCAAAGGCAATTTCTCAAAGTGTGGTTCCCAGCCTAGAAGCCTCAGCATCACTTGGGAACCGGTTAGAAATGCACATTCTTAGGCCCAAGCATAGAAACAGTCAGCCTGGTTTCCAGCAACCTGTGTTTCAACAGACTGCACACGCTCCTGGTGCAGGCTAAAGTGGGAATCGTGCCTTATTATGCCTGGCCAGCATTCATCTTGCATGTTATTTGTGTGGCCTTCCCAGAGTCTGGCAAAGGATTTGAGAGCTCAGCTCTTTCCTTCAAGCAAACTTCTGTATGAGAAAGATTATGATTAGTCAGTGTTGTTAGTTTTCAACATTATCTGCTATGGTGACTTCCAACTATTTCTAGCCTTGAGATCTTCATCCCCAAAATTAAACTGAGAGGATACCTTTTTAAAGTACTTTTGTGATAGGCAGGAGCATTATAAAACCCCATGAAACTCCTTCTGTACTCTGAGGCCACAGACTCTAACTCCTAACTCCTCTAAACTCTAGTTAGTACCAGTGTTGGAAAAAGCCATCAAATTCTATTTCACTCCCTGAACCCAAGGAGGGTTAGCTGGCATGTGTCCTTTAGCAACTCCTATTTTGGTCCTGTAGAACTCTCTTGACTGGGTAGAGCCAAGTTTCCAATGCTGGCTCAGGGAAATGCTGAGCCGTGCCCAAGCAGAAACCAGCCAAGGCAAGACAAGGCTGTTAACAAGAGGAAAAGGAACTTTGTATTTTCTTACACAGTGGGACTGCTGTTGTCTTCTGATTTCATCATCAAGTAACCTGTCTCTCCCTTTGCTTTTCCAAAACTAGGAACAATTAAAAGAGGATGATGCGGACTGCATTGTGAACCAGGATGAACTAGCCATGACTTTTCAGGAGCAAACCTCCATACCCTGCAGTCCTTCTCCAGGGCCCGTTGTGGACCAGAAAGCTTCGCCCCAGACTCCAAGCAAGGAAAACATCTATGAGGGAGACCTGGGCCTAGGAGGCTATGAACTCAAGCTTGAGCAGACTCTGGGCCAGTCCCAGATGAATTAATTGGCATGAAGAGTACAGATGTAATCACAAGTAAGGCAAGGCACACTGAGGACCACTAGCCAAGATTGGCAAGGCTGTGGAGAGGAGAGGCTGGAAAGTGTATTAAAAGCATAAATTGGAGATAATCAAAACCTTGCCTGGTACCTGCAGAAATGAGAATTTATTATCGTCATTTTATATTATACAGTTGATTTTAATTGTTTATCAGCAGCCATTTTTACTACTGGATTGGGTGGGGTGGGGAACAGGGCATCAGGAGCCATATATGCTGGGTGTGCAGGGCATATCTGTTCTGTGGACAGCTCTCCAGGCCCTTCACTTGGATTTTGAACTTTATTCCCTTCATGAAGGAGAGTTAAAAACAAGAAAAAGAGCTCTTGGCCATAAGCATGTTTTGCCTACCTTGAAGGGAATGTCCAGTTGTTTATTAAGTGATAAGTTTTATATTCTTAGGACTTGACTTTCTCTTGTTCCACACACCCCTGGGATTGTGTACAGATCCAGGGAAATGTTCAGTGCCCACTTCTGATGGCCACACAGAACCTGCACAGAATTGGGAACCTACTGTTCTGGGCAGCAACCTTTTCACGTTGCTTCTGCCCTTGGTGGAAGGGATCATACACAGCAGGGTGTGCCTATGCTAAATGCAGTGTCGCTTTCTGGCTGGCTAGGAATCTTTGCAGCGAAAGCTGGATTCTTTTCCAATATGATGTTATACCTGCAGAATGAGCCTTCCTTCCTTGCTTGCTTCCGCTTCTTGGTTCTGCAGTGAGGCCCCTCTGTATGCTGGTTAATAAGATTTCACTGCAATAGCTGTTCTCCACATGGTGGGAGACTGTGTAGGAACCCCAGCCTGTCCCCCAGTTCAGCACTCAGCTGGTCGGCAGCACAGGAGCAGGGGTAGTGATAAATGGGTCAGGCTGAGGAGCCAGGAGCAAGACATCACAACTGCTTCTTATACAGCATGGCTCATGGCCCGTGTTGGAGAGGCCAACACAATAGCTTTTCATTCCGGTGCATGACCTGTGCCCTTGAAGCCAGAAGACACCTCAAGCCTAGCTTCTCTTGAAATACAAATGTTAATAGTAGACTCCAGGCTGGGTGTGGTGGTGCACACCTGCAATCCCAGCACTCAGGAGGCTGAGGCAGGAGAATAGCCACGAGTTCAAGACCAGACTGAGCTACACGGTGAGATCCTGTCAGAAAAAAAGAGGGAGAGAATGATACACTCCACAAACCAAGCTCCAGACCTAGGTGCCCAGGCTTTGCTGTGTCTCCATTTGAGCAAGGCAGAGAATGATGTCTTCTCAAGCCTAGTGTTTAAATTAATGTACGCTTTGAGTACTACTTGTTAGGCCTTAAACATTGACTGTGGTGGTATTGGGCATACTGCTATGTGCATCCGTTTTCTTGCTTTCCAAATAGTAGATTCTGGGGGAACAAATTGTTTTATACTCATCTAAGTACCTGTCATTCCAGGTAAAAATGACAAGTGGGGAAGCATGATGCTTTCTAATTTCTCTTAATCCTAATAAAATTTTGCTATTAAGTGTAATCGTTTTGGGTAATGCTTTGTTCAAGACATCTTCATTGTCCAGGCTAACTGGCGGTTCTGGATGAAGTGGGCACCAAAAACTAACATAAGGAAGATGCAAGGGGTTCCAGGGTCCAGGCACAGGCAGAGTGGCTGGTGCAACAAGACACCGAGGAACGATGCAGCAGCATTGGGCTAGGAGATTCCCCAGAGAAGGGAAACTGAGTCAAACAGAGTGGCACAACTTCTTCCTTTGTCATTGGAGGTGACCAAAATTTATGCAGAGCTGTAAAATTAGATGGAGGAGACCCTAAAGGATGAAGGAAAGAAGGGCAGAGGATTCATCTTGTTTCTGTCTCCATCGTGTAAAAGGGATTTTTTAGTTTTGATTTTGTGTGAAGGAAGCCATAGCAGGAAAAGAGATTCCTCCAAGAAAAGCAAACATCACTGAAGGCAGAAGCAGAGAAAAGAGGGGGAAATATGATTTTCCCTATGGAAATGGGATAAGGCAGGGAGGGGAGGGTGCATAGTCTAAACCAGCACCTCTCCCTGAGAGGACACAGCAAAAAGAGGCTGCTGCTGTTCAGGCAAGGCCTCTTCCTGCTTGGAAACAAAATCTCCTCATGACTGAACATCACGAGTCGCTGCTGACAAAGAGAAGGGAGCACCATTTATGCAGACTGACCCGGGTAGGTCTGAACTACCGAGTGTGAGGAAATCGGCCCTGCCCACTCTGCGATACCGTCTTCCTGCTTTAAGGTGTGATTCTCTGGCTTTTCCTCTGAATCAGCGCAGGACCCCATCAGAAGCTAGTGTCCCAGTTAATCAATTCAAACAGCCAAATTCCTGTGATGCTCCTCTTGTGACGGATAATAATTCGTGATCTTAAGAAATTGTGCTTTCATTAGCAGCCTCGAGACTGTGAAATTCAAACCTATTATTTACTGTGAGTTTCTAATGAATAATAAAGGCAGAGGAGCTTTATTCAAACTACTAATTCTTCCACTCCTTGTTAGAGCTCTAACCGGCACTCTCATTGTTTAACTGGCTTGAGCTGCTCTGCATGTGCGTGTCACACACACTCAAGGGTGCGTGCACATGTATGAGCTCCGCTCCTACGGGTCTCAGCTGGGCCTCTGTGGTGTCCTCCGCCTTGTAGAAAATGTTCATTAATCATGAAACTTCTAGAAACTTCTTAGAGAGCAATTTAACAATATAAATCAAGGCTAAAAATGTAAATACCCTTTGATCCACCAACTTCATGTGCAGAACTGTTGTTCTAGATATTTGACAAACTATACATAACAAAAGTATTTAATAAAACCACTGAACTGCCATCTTTGCTAAACAAATCATGGAGCCACCATTTCCTGAAATAGCACCATACGTACTGATAAATTTGACTACTTAAAAATACAAAAAAATATAAGACGTGATAAAACAAATTTTAAAACAGAAGAACAAACTGACAGAAAAGACACATATGCTTTCTGTATGTGTAATGGGTGTTAGATTTAAGGATTATTCTTCAGAATATACAAAGAACTCTTATCAGTGAATGATAAAAGAAAAAAACTATCAAATAAAAATTGTGCCAAGATTATATAACTTTAAATATGTACATCTTTGATACAGAATTTCTATTTTCAGGCATCTATGTAGAAAAATAAATACTTGACATTTATGTATTAGATGGTATACAAAATGATATTCAGTGTGGCACTCTTATTGCAAAATATTAGGCAAGGATAAAATACCCTTTGATAGCACATGAGTTAGCTAAATGTACCCATACTACAGATTACTCTGCAGCAACTGATTACACTTTGTACAGACATCAGTCTGTGTGCATGCACCCAGGTGGAAACATTTCCAAGATATATTGTCAGTGAAAAAGTAGCAGACTGATAACCAAAAAGGGGGTAGGATTAAGAGGGCTGGTTTGAGAGAATCTTTTGAGCTATCTGTATCATTGTTTAATTTTATAATGTGCTATAATTGTGATTCTCCTGTTTGTTAAAATAAAAGTACGAAAAATATAAGTAATAAAGTAACATACCTTTCTTTCCCTGAAAACAAGACCTAGCCATAAAAGAATCAGCTTTGGAAACTAGAAATCAAAAATGTCAGCCCCGTACAGCCCGTCCTTGCCTCTCTTGCTATCACTATTCTCTTGCTCAGTGGTTACTCTGTAAAGCAGGTAAGGCAAGCATAGGCTGGTGGGAGGTGACATTTTGATCTGTAGTTTTCAAGGCTGATTATTTCCCAGCTAGGTCTTATTTTCTGGCAAACATGATAGATACTGTTGTCCAATTTTGTCTAAGGTAAGGAAGAAAACTTAGTCTATTCTGAGGGTGGCCTTGACTTCAAGAAGGGGTATGGGGGAGGCATGGTTAAGAAAGATAAAACTTGGAAACAGCCCATTTACCCATCATTTGGAGACTGGATAAAGAAGATGTGGTTCTTCTATAAAATGGAATACTACTCAGCCATAAAGAATTAGAAATTAGAGTCCTTCATAGGAAAATGGATGCATACTGAGGTTAAGTGAAATAAATAAGTCACACGTGTAAATACCGAATAGTTTCTCTGGTGTGAAAAACTATAATCATAAATAAGATCCTAATGGTATAATTGACAATGTGGAATAGAAGAAAAGTGCTAAAGGTGTAGGGGAAGTGGGAAGGGTAGGGGAAAGGAAATAAGGCAAAAAAAATATGAGAAAATGAAATAATGGAAATAAAGTTTTTGTAAATAGGGAAGGGAGAAGGGGGTGAAAGAAGAGCAGGGGTAAGGGGAAAATATGAGAACCAAGACCTGTCATGTAAAGTTACAGGATCCACATGATGAATGTGACTGTACTGTACACCTAAAATGTACCAATAAACTCAATGAGGAAAAAAAAAGGGAGCAGCATAGGCAGAGGCTGGTGAATGAGCCTGGCCTATCAGGAGAATTATAAATTATTCCACATGGTTACCATATGGGTTGTTTATGTGTTGAGGGTGGGAGTGAGAAAATAAGAAGCAGTGTTGAAAATATAGAACAAACTAGAGTTTGATCTCGGATCCTCAGAGATTAGGGAACAAACGAAATACTGTATTTCAAGCAGAGAAGATAACTGCATGGGTTATGAGGAGGATGAGTGTGAGTAAAGCTGGCGCTCAGTTAAGACGTTATTTCAATAATCCAGAAGAGAGGTGAAGAGAAACACAATGAAAGCAGTGTCACAAGGCACAGAGGAGGAAAGGTTCTAGGTAAGCTTCAGAGCCACAGTCTGCAAAGTTGATAACTGATTGGATATGAGAGATAAAGAGGTTGGCAGATACCAGAATGATCCGAAGTTTAAGGCTCAGCTGATGATTAGATGGTGATTCCACCCACTAAGGAGGTACAGAGAAAAGGAACAGGTCTGCGGAAAGGACCATAAATTCAGGTCTGAACAGGGTGAGCCTGAGGTTCTTATAAAGAGCTGCCGCAAGAAATCCAGATGTTGGTTAAGTGAGTCTAAAGTTTAAGGAGAAGTTCGGGGCATTGCCTGATAATAGAGTATTAGTATGTGTGATGCCTTGAGTTCGGTGCCTAGCAACAACAACAATAATATTATTAATAATTTAATAATTGCATTTATTATAAAATTTTTAAAGTTCTAGTCTGGAAATGTATGTTTACAGGGATGAGACCTGTATCACAGGATCACAGAAGAGTTTTTCAAATGCCAAATATCCCTCCTCATTTTTCTAACTCCTGCAAAGAGATTCTGATATATTGTCCCTGCAAGAGATTGATGCCACAATCTCTAAGAAAGTGGTTTTAATTCATACCCTGGGGAGAACCACTGACAAGAAAAAGAAAAAGAATAAAACCGGAAACTGAGAGGTGTTAAATCCAGTGGTTGGATAGAGGATACATCTGTGAAATAGCCCCTGGAGACTCACCTACCTCGAATCCAAGAACATCTAGCACTTGCATGGAAAAGGGAGTTGGATACAGGGAAATGTTTTCCACTGATACCATGACAGTACCATCCATGCACTACACACCTGTTCCAGGTCTCCCCAGCCATGATGGTCAACTGAGAAAATTATCACATCCCTTGGTACCTAATATGCAGTAGTTAATATGTCTAATTTTTTCTCAATATCTTTTGGTAAAACTATCAGAAGCTGTTTGCTTTCATCTGACAAGACCAGCAAAAACCTTCAGTCTCCTACTTCAGTGGCACAGCATCTCTCCAGCCGTGTACCGTAATTAGCTCTCGGGGACTCTGATCACTTTTTCCTTCTCCAAGACATCACATTAGTTATGTCACATGGACAGTAAGTAGACCTAGTGCTCTTAACATAATAGTAAGGTTTACTTGTCAGAGTTTTGGGGAAAAAACTGACTAAAACATAGGACCTCCAACCTTGGTGAAATTGGCAAGTCCAACAGTGAAGACATGTTGAGATATCCCCTCTAAGATGAAGGATAAGCTGTTTTATTTCGCCATAAAAGGAACAAAACATAATGACTTTGGATTTTCTCATTACCTGCTCCAGCTCATTCACCAAGGTTGAGTTTTGTCCCCCACAAGGGTGTGGTACTGATGAATATAACTTTTTCGGAAACAGGGACTTCACAGATGTAATTAAGATGAAGCCAGATTGGATTAGAGTGAACTCCAACTCTAATAATCAGTGTCCTGTAAGGAGAGAGACCCAGAGAAGACCATGTGATGATGGAAATCAGAGATTAGAGTGATGCAGTGCTAAGCCAGTGAATGCCAGTAATTGCTGCAAGCACCAGAAAGTAGGAGAGAGGTATAGAACGAATTTCCCTCAAAGCCTCCAGAAGGAGTCAACCCCCTGATTTCAGGCTTCTAAAAGTATATGGTGTATGAAAGATCAGACAAAGCACGGAGGCACATTTTAATTTGTGAAGACATAGCCCACACATCCATGTACTCTCTGCTACTATTTTACCTTCTCTCTCCCAGTCTTCACCGGTAGCCTACAGGAAATACCACATGAACAGCCACC